AAAGGACCCTCTAATTTCTTACACCTGTATTTTCTTAAATACTTTTTACCCAAAGTATATTCTCCAGGATACAATGATATAATTTGTTCCATTAAATGATGCTTGTACAACATAAAATGAAATGTAGGAGAATTTTAAAGTATTATATAGCAAAAGGCAAACATATTTCAGTTAATAGGATTCCGGTAACTGAGCACACCCTAGAATATGTTGGAACCTGATGGGGTAAAAGGAACCCTCTCTGCTGGATGCCTATGTCCTCTTATATTACAAAAATCAGCACTCCCTTATCAGGCTCCCTCAATCATCAGAAACTTCTTGCCCAAGTTCCTTGTCTATCTCTATCCTGCTTCAATCTTTCCCTCTAGTCATAAAATGAGCATAACTAAAGCTGACCAAGTGCTTACTTAGTATGTGCCAGGGACTATTCTAAGTGCTCCATGGGTTGTGTCACATATTCCTCTCAGTACATTCTTTGGATGAGGTTAAAATGACTGACTCAAGCTCACACAGTTCCTAAGTCATGGAGTCAAGATTCAAGCCAAGGAAGTCTTGCTGCAAAGGCCACAGCCTGAACCAATTGCCATACTGCCTCTCGCCAGATCCTCTAAGTCTCTTCAAATCTGTGTTCTTTCTATTCAGGAACTTCTTCAGAGTACTAACTTCACTCAGCAATACTTAATATGTGATTACAGGCAAGCACACTGTGCTAGGGGCTGGGGATTCAGGGATTAAGGATATAGACGGACACTGGAACATACTGTCCACCTGAGGTAAACAAGAAGTCATTAGCATGGTGTGTGAGGGGTGAGTGCACACCCATGGGCCCTCACTAGGTCAGGGTCAGGGTGAGGAGTTGACTTTCTTCAATACCATCAATCCTAGTGGAGTGTGAAGGTGAATCAGCCTGCCAGCCTTGGAATTCCAGATCCCTATTTACTAGGTGGGAGACTCTGGGGGAAATTATGTAAGCTCTTTGTGGGCCTGTGAATAAAATACAATGGATTACATACAGCGGTTCTCCAAAATCTGTCTTTATCTTTCTTCCTTGATCACGTATAGAGGGGTTCAACAAACAGGTCTGTCCGTAACTTCCGAAACTGTTTTTAGCCGGAGCCTCCCTTCTGAGCCCTACTTGGTCATCTCCACGAGGAGGCCCGTTTCTAACTCACACTTGACACATTGAAAACTCCTTGGCTCTCTCCAAATCACTGAGTGTTGAGGGGTGCTGCCCACTTCTGCCACTGGCATCACTCTTCCAGAAATCGAAGGGTGAAGACTGTTTTGATTCCTCGTCCTCCCTTGCCTGACCCCTACTTAGTCTATTTCCAAGAGGCTTCCTTTACATTTTTACTGCCACCAGTTTCGACTTCATTAAGTAGTCTATTGAAGTCTCCTCCTCGCTTACCTCTCAGCTCCGAACCTCAGTCTCTTAAATGGTGATGCCAGATTGGTCTTCCTGCGTCACAGGTGCCCGTCGCTCCCTTGTCCCACTGCCTAGCCTAGCCTTCCATGCTCATTCCGCTCTCACCCGTTAGCTTCTCCACTGTTCCTCACCAGTCTCAGACATTTTATACTGCAGTTGAAATGCTTCCTGTTCTCACACCAACGATGAGTTATCCTGACTGCTTATGCTGCTCCCTCCATCTGGAATTCTTTCTCCACTCCTGAACGTTCAAATACTGCCCATCCTTGAATGCTCTGTTCAGATGCATTCTCCAGTACAACACGTCCTGTCCTCTGGTAGGAAATGATGTCTTCCCAACATGAGCTTACACAGCATGTTATCACCCTCCCAAACACTTGACGGTTTCTACCTTTTTCGTATAGCTATGCATCTTCTCTCTCCTACTACATGACAAAATCTTTGAGTACAGAATCCAGTTGTAATCCATCCACTACCACTAACACAAAGTGCTCAAAAATATAAATGGCTTAATAAAATGAATGGAAGATGGAAAGACAGAAGATTGGAAAGAGGCAAGAATAGAAACAACAAACTTCAGAGTGCTAAGAAATAGGCATCTCTCCATTAGAGGGATTTGAAGTAGGAAAAAGAACTGACTACAGTCACATGTTAGTTGAAGAATTTTCCAGGAGCCAGTTATGTGAAATGAGCAAAATAATACTACCTTAATGTTCAGATCTGCACATTGCTGAAAGAAATAAATTAATTCAAATAAGTAGGTTTATTAACAATAGTTTTTAAAAAATAATTATTGTCAACGAGGCAAAGAGCAAGGAGGTAGAGATATGCTAATGAAGGAATTAAAATATATGCTCTTCTAAACTCTGATCTTTGTTTTCAAGTGGCAATCCAGAGGCTCTCAGCACCACCCATTTAAAGACATTGCCTCAACTCAAACATTTCACTAATAAATAAGCTTGATATTTTATACATAAGCTTAAGGATATTTTTAAAATCAAATCAAGAACTTAGCAAAATATCAAAAGTCTGTGCACTTGTGCAGATTTAGAAAAGCATCCTTAATTAGAAAAAAGCAGAAGAGTTTTAAAGCAACTGAACAAATGGACAGAATAATTTCAAGCATTACTCTTCATACCTGGTGAATTTCAAAAGCAGAGAAATTGATGGACGACGGTCATCTTACTAGTACTGTCGACATCTGCTTCTAGTCTCAAAATGTTAATTTCTTTTAGAGAAGCAAAATACAATTTTAGAATATATCTTAAACATGCCCGGATTAAAGACCAAAAAGAACAAGTCCAAATGACCCACACACACAAAAAAAAAATAGTGACTCTCTACAATGGAATATGTCATTAGAAGATTACAAATTTTCTTTGCGGATTTTGTCTTAGCCTCTATATGTACCACAAAATCCCTCAGCAATAAGACAGCACAGGAAATGAAAAGTTCCAATAGACATATTTTTTTAAAAAGGGAACAATTCCAAGGATACAAGGCAGGCACTTGGCAATACCTTAAAGGAAAAGAGTGTTTCTTCAAGTTGTTGTTTTTTAAACTTTCGTTATACAGCATGAAATTGTTCTCATACTTGTGAAGCTATGAAAATGAAGAGAGAAGGGGCGTCTGATTAAATGAAACAGAAACTGGCTCGCAAGGCCTCCATTACAGCATACAACAATTTCAAATCCAACTTCTCGTTGGATGTCAAGGTTGGGTACCACACTAAAGTCACCTTGGATAGCATTTAATTGATGCACAGCTGTTACAAATACTAGTCATTGGCAGTCTAACCATAAAGAACCATGAATATATTTCTCTAGAGTGCTTGATAACATAGAACGATATAAAAAAATATTTACTCTGTTTACATAACAAAGTGAAGGGGGAGAATACCTCCCTTGGATTAGCAGCTTCCATCCATATCCAGGTAAAGGAAATTATACCCAAAACGAGGCTACTTCACAGCAAGATTTATTAATACATCCAAAAGAAAGAAAGAAAAATCATTTTGTCACACTATATACAGATAATACATACAGTGTTTTATACACATATTACATCAGTTTTTACACAAGAAAAATATACATAAAAATGTAAACTTTTGTATACAAAAACCCTTAAACAAATTAAACAAGGACCAGATAACAAAAGGAGACCAATCATTATTATTTCATCAAATTTTTAAAACAGTAATACAGTACATTCATTGATATATATGGAAAATGTGAGCCATCTCTTCTTGTTTAAAGGGAAATTACAAACCAAAAGCCCATTACCTCCCCAAATGTGGGCTCCCCCCACAATACCATACCCAATGCCATAGATATGCCTTTCCTTCAAAACGGGAGGGGCTCTTACCAAAAACCTGCCAATCTCATCTTGCTCCTATGGCCTGTGCAGAAACGAGTGGCTCCTTGCTTTTGTGCATATAACTAAGCTTCCAGCCACTTTTAACACAAATACATAGAAGCTTCTCAGTTTGTAAATTCCCTTTAAGCAACTTTTTGTAAATATTTTTAATGTATGGGCTGTTAAACATACTTGTGTGCCAAGGTGAATGAGAACACTGAAAAAGAAGGGCTTTGAGAACCGCTAGTCCTTGCTACCGTGCAGTTACTTTGTTAAAAGAGATTTTAAAACTGTGCGACCTGTCATTTACTGGTTTCAAAGCTACCTCACCTTTGATTTCCCACTGCAACTTGGTTTTAACTTACACTTCAGCACTCTAGCTAGTACCATCCAGTTGCCAAAAGGCTTTTTGTTAAAGGCTGCTTCTGATATCAAGTATCCAGCTCAGCTACTCTGAAATCACTCAAACCCCATCCTCTCCATTTTAGTCTTTAGGGGTACTCTGAATCCACTGGTTTTCTGTAACATCTTATAATTTAGGACTGTCCATCGACATTCCTCTCTCTGTAAGGTTGGGAAATGTAATCTGCTGCCAACTCATCACAAGATAAAATATTTAACAGTATTTTCTGAATATTCTCTCATTTGGTGTGTCAACTATCAATTATCAATTTGATAGACTAATGAAAAATACTTTGAAGCTGTGGGGAATAAGAATTAAATCTATGTCAAGTGCGTGCAGACTTGGAGTTCTTTTTAAAAAATGTCTGGGAAGACCTTTAATAAATGCAAAACAAGCGTTAAGACAGCTTCGTGAAAGAGTGCTGCCTTCTCTCAGAGTTGAATTTTGAACAAGGCAGAATAACAATTAGGTGATATATTTCCCTGCAGCAAGAAAGTAGTTAACTTCCCCCGGGCAAAACGATCTGGACGATCATTATTTATTAATGAAAGGAAGAGGCAGATTGGTGAATTAAGTTGATCTAGGAGATGGTGGGTGACATACACTAATGGAAACACTAGGATTGCTTTATAATTGACATAAATAGGCTGGTTTGTGGTATATCTCCATTTCTGAGACAGGAACATGCACCAGGCTCCTCAAGTGAGTCTCTAGCTCTCGCCTTCTCCCAGGAGACACAAGGCATTTAAAAAATGACAGTCTTCCTTTCAGTCAAAAAAATAATAATAATAACAACAAGGAAAAGGATGATAAATAAATAATGTGTGGATGTCTTTAGATGAGACTTTTAAATGTTCTTTAAATAATTTTTGATAATGTATTTTAAATCATTACACACAACTGCCATTGCAGCAACAATATTCCAGTAGGGGCAGCATTTTGCTAAATGTAAAAGATTGCCATTTAAAACTCATACATGTACATGTGTATATACAGTATATCAACATTATTTATATACATATATATCTAGAGAGCAACATTTCATTGCCTTTGAGTATCTATATATCCACTCCCACAATATATACTAGAGACATACCGTGTGAGTATATACGAAAGTATATGTACACATGCTCCAACATGTATATATACACTTTTGTCTGTGTGTGCATAAGAGCTTTAAAGGCACAATATATAGGGATGCAGTTTTCTAGAGAGCTGCAGCAGAGTTAAACAGAATGTCACCAAATGTGAGAAGAGTCAAAAGGAAATATAGCAGAATTCATTACACAAGAATTCATTAAAGCAGTTTCATCATGAGCAAAATTAGTTATAAAATTCAAGAGACTTACTTTGTATGCTTTCCATTAAAATGAAAATAGTAAACTTATGATCCAATTACAAAGTAAACTAAATTTTCAAATGACAAATTAATGACAATAAATGAGAGAATAAACCTAACACTAATATCAATAATAAAATTGTAATTATGTTCTTTTTCAATTTAAGTAAAATATCCCAAGATTATCTAGGTAAAAATTGTAAATCAGTTTTGATTGAATGTTGATTTTTGTTTTTTTTCTGAGACAAAGATGAATGGCTGATTCTCAAAATTACTATAGAAAATATTACCAAAACTTGTATGTTCTGGGAAATTTCAGAGATAAGGATCTTTAAAAGAAACAATTGAGAAGTTAATGAAATACACTTAAAACAAATGCTTCTGGCTAGAAAGGACATAATAAAGGAGAAAAAACACAATCAAGTGTGATTTTTTTAAATGTCTGAAAGATTGACTTAGAAGTTAGTCTAAGATGAAGAATGGAATTGGCAAGTGAGAATAGTTCCAAGAGAAATTAACTTATAATAACCACAAACAAGACTATAATCGAAAGGACTTCTACTTTAGTATGCTCTGGTGATGTACTCTAGACTGTCACTTCCTCCTGCTTACAGAGAATCCAGAATTTTCCATAGACGTACAATCTTGCTTAACAAAGGCTGTTTATCTATTATACACACACATTTTTTTAGGGAAATATATGTATATAGCTTTATCTATACACACACATATACATACGTGTATATATAGATTATACAAATTTATAAATAAACATATTACTTCTCAATCTTTCCATTGACAAGGCAAGTTCACATTCAGCAAAGTGCCACCACATCCCATATACACATCTCTGTACAGATATACACAAAGGGTCTATTTTCACCCTTCAATCAGGGGGAATTTATTCTAGCAAATCCCATTAATTAGTAACTGAAGGGAGAAATGGCACCAATACAAACTCCCTTCTTTCATTTGCATGCATATGTACAAGAAATATGCAGATTTTTTAAAAATCCATAAAGCAAGAGTGAATGGAACTAGGAGATGCTGCAAAAATACAACTGTAAAAAGAACAACATATAAAGCTTTCCAAGGTCTTAACTATATATAAGATGAATGAGGCTTCAAAGGTAACTACAAATTCAGGTGTATTATCCCAAGTTGTTTGGACATATTTCAAAGTACATGATTTTTTTATATATTAAAAATAAATGTGATTGGAGCAATTAATAACAACTCTAGTTTTGACTATTTTAGACCACCAGATACCCCAGTAATAAATGTATAGCAAAATGACAAATCTCAAAATATAGGAATGTATTTTTTTAATTCCATAGGCATCAAGTCAAAGGTAGCAGAATTCTTCCTAGAGCCAAAATAGGGTGAAGGGAGACAGGCTAACTTCGTAAATAATAGCACAATTGAGTAACTGTTTTTCAAATTTTGGGAAATACCTGAAATCATCCCAGCTTTGAAATATGCATGGTGAAATGATCCCACCAACACTTTAAACAAACCAGTTGCTTCAAAAACTGGCATTCTTTCTAAAATGCCTATAATATTCTTAACTTCACCAAGAAAAGAGGGTCAACAGTATTTTCTAACTCAGAATAGAAAGAAATCTATGAATGCAAAAAAAAGTTCAACTGATCTCTGGTCCCATCACCCCAACAGATAAACACAGCTCATGTCTTGGGTCTTTCTCTCTCTCTCTCTTATTTTTATGCTCAAAAGCAAGAGGCTGGTCTTAAAACCTACTGTTTCTCACATCATTTTAAAAACACAGCATAAATATAAGTTAATCAAAATGCTAAAATGCACATGATATCAGAACTAGCCTTTTAACATGACATAACATGATGAAGAATTTGGTGTATTTATACGAGACAATGAGAAAGTAACTCCAATACTCTCAACTAAATAAATCATATTTCTACAATACATTCTGTTATCTTTCTCTCTTTTTATGGAAGCACACATTCATCTCTCTCACACTTGTGCCCCCCAATGTATATTTTTGCATGTGTGTAAAAACACAGACACATACATGCACACAAGTAATTTAATTCTATTTTTAAGTCACAGTGGGAATTCCTTAGTGAGGAGGGATAAAAGGGTTCCTGAATAAGACACTGAGAACATCTAGATTTATTATTTTTCTCTATTTTACTTCCCAACTTACAGAATCAACTGTAAATTAAAGAATCCATAGGAAATAAAAGAGGTCTTAAATGAGTTTACAAATTCCAGCTACAGTAGTTGGGAATTTTACTTGATCTATGTATTTCTATTTACCCTGTAACTAAGCTTCTAGCCATCTTAAGTGTAAACCACAGATCATTTACTAAAGAAACATGATTCTCAAGAGTTCTATGAATAGTAATAAATGGTCTAACGGTGTTCTACATTTTGAGGCCCCCGAATATCCTTTTATTTTATATATCTGCAAGGTAGCAAAGGATAGCTATACACCTTGACACGGCAGAGATCCAGTGTAAAAAGGTGCTTCACTAGTTTGTTTTGTTTTAAAAAAAAAAAAAAAAAAAGCTCATATATAATTTTTTAGCTATTAAACACATAGGCAACATAATTCATTACACTCAATACAGCTTTAGTATAAAACTTATAATTTATGAGGTGATGTTAATAGCATAAATTAATATACCTTTTCTCTTAAAATCTACAATAAGTATTCTGAAAGCTCATTGGGGAAGGAGATTCTTAAATAAAAGTTTTAAAGCTGTGCGTGACAGGAAAGGGTTCTGTATGCTGAAGCTGAGATGAGAGGCTGAAGGAGAAAGGAAAAAAGTCCTACGCAAGACACCGTGGGCTACGAAACCAAACGTTTTCTCTTTCTTGCGCTCTCTTCAATGATGAGTCACACCTTTAGTTTCTTGAAAACTATTTTCTTATTTTAAAAACTGCCCTAATTTCCACAAGGAATCCCTGAGACATACTCAACACTATACAGTGACAAGAATTATCACTGTTGAGAGGAACTGATTCAACCCTTCCAAGCAGATGAAGACAACGTCACAACCCTCCAATTTTCCATCCCTTCCACACTAATCTGCCGGACCTTCACGACGCAGGGTGGAGTCACTTCAGGGCAAATCAGTCGATTCCCCAAGTAAAAGCAATGGAGTGGCATTTAGCTGCGTGGGAACCTTCTGCACTGCATGTTGAAAATTTTTCCAAGGGGAACTTTGGGTGCATACAGAGCTTACTTCAGTGGTCCCCAGCTTAAAAACAAACAAACAAACAAACAAAAAACAAGCGAAAGGACTCTATTACTCTTAGGCCAGGGTCAGTACAGACCATGTGTGTAGGTGTGAATACGTCAGGACTGGATGTGAGCTGAGCAAGCAGGCAGAAGGGGAAAAAGGAGGGAAGCCATGCTGCCTACCTAGCTTTCTACGAGCTCGACAGGTTTTCTCTTACAAGACTGTTTTTCAGACTAAACTTTGGATCACCAAAAACTCTGCCATTGAAAGTAGCCTAACATTCCCAATGCCTTGGAAACTAGGGTAAAGAAAGTCATACCAAATGTGCTCTCTCTCTCTCTCTCAGAAATGCCCCATTTCCTGTTATTAGTTCTGTATCACAGTGCAGAGAGAGGAAAGCTAACAAAAAATAAGAGCTGGAGTGAAAAGAGAATTCTTGCTAGCTAGAAATAAGGCTCTCTAAATTTGACCCACAATTTTCACACTGATGACACTGGTTATTAGGAGAGACATAATTATTCATTGATGGGTGATGTTTTCTTTCCTAACTCACTGGTCAGGGGGAAATGAGTATGATCTTCACTGGTATTTTATTACAAATCTTTTGAAAGATCGCATCTGAAATGTTCCTTTAATTGACTAAACATGGATTTTGGTTCCCTCGAGAATATTGGAAAGCTTATAAAGTTCAAGATATTAAGAAGTCATTAAATGTTTTACCTTTTTGTAGAATACCAGTGATGATTCGATTATTTTCAAAGTATTGGGGGAAAGTAATCTATGTTCTGTTTTTTATATATATTCCCATCCCCCACCCCTATCCCCAAGAAATATATTTCTTGTCAGGAAAAAAAACCCTTGGAGCAATGTAGGTGTTAGTGATGAAAGAGAAACAAACGAAGGCTATTCAGTAGGACTACATTTTTTTTTCTAGGAATCCTTCAAATTGCCTCAATAAACTGCAGAATTCTGTTGACCATTTAGAAGACCATTATATTAGATTATTCTATAACACTAGCTTCAAAATAGAATTTAAAAGGATTTTAAAAGGCTAAAAAGAAAGAGGATGAAGAAAATGGAAACAGTTTCTAAAAATATTTGAAATGAATTTCAAACCTATTAAGTCGTTTAGTGTTCTTAATATCTTCATCTTTTTACAACACCAATCCACAACAACCTATTGAACCAACGTGGAGAAAAGGTAATTGCCTCACACGACACTGCTGACGAAGCCTCCCAGCCATGGTGCAAGGGTACAGGAAGGATGGCAGAAGAGTCAACAAACTGATAGAATGGGAGCTCCCTACACAGGCTCAAATCCTAGTGCCAATTGATAAAAGCTGAATGGTACAGGTCAACAGAAATAGAAAGCCTTTCACTTAAGAAGAAAATTGTACTGATAGGGCCCCTGTGTGTCTCACAGGCCCTGATCCTTTCCAAATCAAAGCACTGTCTTTTCTTCTCTGGATTGTGATTGTGGATTGACAACAGGCTCTAATACAGAAAAGTTTTAGTGTTAGTCACAGAAAATGGTGACTCCTAACGTGAAGCTGAGAGATTGGGCATATTTAAGAAATAATTCTTATAAATAATTATTTGGCAAAGATAAAGTGTTAGCTCTCTTTAGCCTTGAGTCACTCAACATGTAACTACAATTTTAAGGAAAAGGAAAAAAACAAAACAAAACAAAACATCTTTCCAACTTTATTTTCATACCTAAGATTTGCTTCTCATTAAATTATAATCTTCTCATGGAGGAACACTAGACACAATGCGTTGCCTGCCGACATGAAATTGCTCAGGAAGTCATTTATAAAGCAGTCATATCTCACATGGTGGGTTACTAGAGAAAATAATCCTTCGCCGTGTAAGCTACGCGACGATTAATTAGAAAATTTTTTCATTGCATAGTCTGTCACTTGGTGGGTTAAGTGTAATTGCTATTAACTATTGTGAATTGTTTACTAGCTACATAATCTACCCAGATGTGCAAATTGCTAAGCCATTTTTAACAGAGGGAAAAACAATGTCATCAGTACTCTAATTAAAATAATATTAACAATTATGTAGAGAGTGTGAAGGAGAGAAAACACATCTTTTCTTCGGATGCTACAGATCACAGCCAATGAATATCATACATTAGAATGGAAGTCAGATTCCCAGAACACAGCCACGTAGCCACTGACTGCAGCAACTTTGCAAATTAAACCACATTAACACAGTCTAACTGGCCTTTATAAATGGTCCCAAAAAACTGCAGAAACAGAGCGAACTTTCTTTGCTACTACTTCTCATGAGTTTAACACTAGCATAAAAGCTAGTTTCCACCTAACTAGGACCTTATATAAAATTCGTTTTTGATTCCAGTATTGCCTTATTATAGCGTAAGTGCTATTTTAAAAGACACTAATTTTCCTATTTCTGGAGTAAAAGACACTTCATTCCTTTATATATTAATGGCAAAGCTACTACTAATAGACTAGAATTGCTCCGTCAGCGAAAAGAAAAATGGATATCTCTGGGTTCACAGATGTTCTTCTCTCTTCCAAAAAGCGACTCAAACAAGAAACAGCAAGAGCAAAGCAAACTTTAAGCTCACATGTTGCTTTTGAAGTAGATGAAATGAGAGGGAAATTTCCTTTCTTACTAATTCCTTAAGTCTACACTGGTACTTTCTACGGGTGCCCTTTCTTCAGCTATCATTGTGGGCATCTAAACAAAAATGAATTGACTCAAAGTTTTTGGTGTGAAGCTGTAACTGGCAACATTCCTGATCATTTCTTGCTTCCTTACTCGAAAGCAGAAAAGGGCTTTTAAATGCACATAAAACAGAAAATTGCAAACAATAAAATGTGCAACTTACTGCAAACTCAGTTTTTGATAACTGAAGAATTTTAAGCAGCTACCACGAGGAAACAAATAGCCATAAAAGTTCAGATCGACTACCCGTGACTTTCCCTTTGCTGTCAAAGAAAGGCTGATAAGAAGAAAGTCGATGTGCTGCTCTGCTACAATGATTCATTAGTACACAATGGAGAACAAACCGAATAGCTGGGAATGGACAGCTATCTAGTGATGATTACAATGGGGTGTGGAAAGAGTTGAGCAAACTAAATGACACTTTTGAGCAGAGCTAACTACTCATAGTCATTTCATTATAGTACATTAAAATAAAAAAGCTTACTAACAGGTTCACAGGTGAGAAATATTCAAATTATCTGTTCTCACCATTCACAATAGAAATTTATGGTGATACCAAATATAATTTTGCTTTGTGACATAATTTATAATTTAGAAATTTCTCAATCTGCAAAAAAGACAAAGCTATTAAAAATAAATCTTCCAATTATCATGATTTAAAAAAAACTAAATATATTACAAACTTATTTTTGGCCCACAAAAAGAAACTTCAATAAATACAAAATAGGGCATATAATGATTTCATAGTCATGTGACATTTCCCCTCCATAATCTCAGGCACATGGTATCTGCATAATGCCTGCTGATCACCATCATTCCTTTAAAAAGCAGAGAAAGAAAAGCTTTCAAAAGAAGGGATTGGTTAGAATTCGCATGGCATAAAGAGAATACTTACAGGAAGTAGGAAAATACATCCAAATCTTTACCTATTGAAAAGGAATTAAGATCAAATATTCCCTGACAAATGAATCATTATATCACATCATTAATAGATATGCTCTCTCTACTCATCTTTTAAAATATATATATGTAAATTAGACTAGACTCAGGTATAAATAGCCAATGGTATCTCAGGAGACAGTGAACCATCTCGGGCAAAAGCAGGGCACAAATGCCTTTAAAATCGAGTTCCACCCTTCTTCTGGGAGGAGACAGGAGGGCAAGGGAGAAGGCAGGTAAAAAGAAAACTCACATGTTCGTTTCATTGTCACCAACTTACTAAACTACCCAACATGATTTTTAAGCCTAAAATCCTGGTACTTTAAAGCAATGTCCCCCAATTTAAACCTAAGTACTTAAATCATTTTAAAAGTACCAAAGGGTGGGTAAAATTTATGTGTCATTTCCATATTCTGCTTTGAAAGAAACTTTAAAATGTGTATCCTTCAGATATTACATATCACTTCACAACTGGTACATTGATTCCACAAGCGTCTTCAACATTTTACAAATCTCACCAAAGAATCACTACTGTAAACATGAAAGATTTAAAAGCAAAAGACGGGTCAAGAAGTTCACAGAGCCCATCTTTCCAAATCTATCTGACCTATCCTGCATTTCACATCGAAGTATTTTCTTTAATTACATCTTGCGAATGTATTCCATGACAGAGGGGTTCAGGAACAAAAGCATGTCGAAAAAGGCAATAGAACCACCAGGCCTCAGTATCTCAGCAACCCTGCAGTCACTCCAGGCAAGCTTTTCACGACATCCCCCACGGCACTAACATGAATTCAGCTGTTTGTGTTCCGGGATAACTTAGCAGAAAAGGGTTGTGCTATTCATGCGACCAGACCACCAACCACCCTCTCTATTCAAGAAGCTTAGTTAACTCAGTGGGAAAGAATGACCAACCTTATCAGGGTTGTGAGATGCGGGGAGAAGTAAGAGCCTTATACTCACGAGGGCAAAACAATAACAGTAACAATGGGACAGCTGCTTCCTGCCCTACACAGAGAACACACACACGAGGGCGCACACATACACACAGGCAGTCAAAAGACTCATTTTTTTCTTTTTAATTAAACATGATCACAATTAGGAATGGACTCCTGGCCTCATGTGGTATTTAGCAGTTGGTGCTAAGTCAGAGCCTTGTCTCGATCTGCCGCTACACACCGTTTGCTATGTCTTACACACAGAGACTCAATGAAGAGGATCTTTCTACCGAGAACCACCTATGTAAATACCTGGTAATAGAATGGAAAGCATTGATCTGAATACTAGGAAATAGGGCACTGGTAATCTGAGGTATCTTCCACTTCTAGGACTTGCTGCTAAAAGTCGGTTCTATCCAGTCACTGTGCTGAGCCCCTAAGGAAACCGCTGGGGCAGAGTGACCCTGCCAGAAGGAAATGAGCACCAGTGCAAAGGAGCACATGTGAACACTGAAGCAAGGTCCACCGCAGGGTAACCTGTTCAACTGGAAAAGGGAGTTCCCCTCTAGTCCCCATCTGTGATGTTTAAAATCTTCTTTAGGGAAAGGGGAAAGGAGTGATAAAGAGGAAACAAAGACAGAAAACACCAGGTTCCCCACCTGCCTGCATACACACAGACACACTCAGTTAGGGGAGGTGAAGGGAGAGGATGCATTATTGGTACTTGTAGCTGTGGCACCTGTTACTGTGAAGCCTGTAGGAGGGGCTATAGAGCTGTGGCTGGGCTGCAGGTCCTTAGGAATGCCACTGTGAGAACTCAGCTGGTGGCCGAAGGCTGCGCTGAACTGAGGAAGCTGCTGCTTGGGAGAGGTGGAGGCCATTAGTTCAGCAGAAGGCCCCATGCCACTGAAGCTGGTCTGCGGTAACCCCGGGAGCACACTGGAGCTGCTGGGGGTCACGGTGGCGAAGGCAGGCTGTGTGGTCTCTGAGTTCGAAGTGGTGGGTGGCGTGGAGAGGGAAGTGGAAAGAAGATGTCCATCTGCGTCGAGAAGGTTGCTAAATGGAGAGGGCTCTCCAAGGTTGACAGGGAGATTGCCCCAGTGAGTCCTGGGGTTTACGACTCCTCCAAGTGGCACCTCAAGTTGGGTTGGGAGCAAGTGCTGCGTCATGATGGGCATCTCTGCTGAGAAGGTAGCTGCCATATTATCACCAGAGTAAGATGTGTGGGGAGAGGTGATATGGTCACTGTAGGGAGACGGCACGTGCTCACTATCATAATGGCTTCCATGGGGCGAGGAGTGTGAATGATCACTGCTGTATTGCTGTCGTGAGGTGATTAGGTCATCTGCCTTGCTCAGCAGCTGGGCAGGATGTGGCCTCTGGGAGGCATGGCTGCCATCATGAAGTCCATGAAACTGTCCTGGGAAGGCTCTCTCCCCAAGTGCACTCTGGCTGATCAGAGTGGCAGAAGTAAGGCCAACGTTGGCTGGGGCAGAGAACTGCCCTTGGATCTGCCCTGCCAGGGGTGTAGGTGGGTTAGACAAGGTAGCAGAACGGAGCAGGTTCTCATCCAGCTCTAGGCTAGAAAAATTATCATGTACTATGCGCCCATTCAACAGCTCCCCTAGGTCCGTGTTTACTTCTCGGCTCAAGGACTGAATTCCTGAAGCTCCCGTACCTGTGGAGAATACCCCTATTCCTCTATCCGACAATTCCTGGACCGGCACACCATCTGACTGGGTAAGTACCCCAATGGTACTCAGGCACTCGAGAGAAGTCACAGCCTGCAAAGCCCGCTCAAGTTCCTCAGCCTCTTCGGTAGTTGGGAGGAGGTCTCCATTCTTTCCTGAGTAAGCAAAAGCCATCAAGAATCAGCAGAGCTTTCAACTGTCCCACACCACAAAAACCATACTTGTGATTTCTAACAATACTCTACGAAAGAGGCCCTGTTGAAAGAGAAGTTTCCAAGGATTGGACTGGAAGGGAAAAGTGAAATGTTAATCTGCAGGACAGAGCTTGTATCACACTTCCAGTTTATTTATAGTACTCTCAAAAATGATCTTACCAAAGTATTAAATTCTGAGGGATTCTAAACACTACCAATTCAAAACTCATCGTGACTATCTGAATACACAGATGTTTTTACCAAAAGTTATATTGAAGTCATTAAAATAGAAAATATATCCTATCAGTTCAGATTTGAGACAAAAGGCTGTGGAGGAGGAGTCCACCAAGTTCTTCTACTCTTAGATTCTTCCAGCCGGAAAGGGCAGCTGTGGAAGACTAGGATACAGAAATTCATACATATATCTTAACACTAAGCACTCACTCAGCCCATTTCAGAGGTTATCTTTTAAAATGCTGCTGCATTACTCGCTAATCCTTCCCTCTTATTCTTCTCCCATTTCTAACTACTTTTCAGAAAACAGAAACCCTTGGGTCTGCACGGACTTCATTTCCAATATAAAAAAGTCTATTGTTAGGAACTTGATTAATCAACACAAAAATATTCAGTTTTTAAATAGTGAAAGGAACACGCTAAGAATATAAAAGATTTCTCCTGCAATCACCAGAGAATTGGTGGAATAAAGCAAAGTTTGTTTCGGGAAAGTGTACTTCAATTGAAGTACAGGGTGGGGTATTAAAATCAGGACAAGTTCTACAAGGCTTCAATAAACTCAAGTTTGAATGTCTTTGCTTAAAAATAAACTCAAGCAAAATTACTCATTTTAAAGGAATGAGGTTATAAACCTAGCTTTCAAACCATCCGTCGACTAAGCCTAGAATATGGTTAAACAAATTGCACATGCCTTAACTTCTGAAAAGAATAAATTAGCTTTAGCAGAGCTATGTTTTCTATCTACAGTGAAAGATATATATGTGAAGAGGAATACTTCAAACACATCTCCAAAAACTATTTCCCTTTTTAAGAACTCATTTTAAAACCCCGTTTTCTTGAATCACAATATTGACCATACCTTCAAAAAAATCAAAATCCTGTAAGTCATCAGGTAGCCTTGGCAGGACATCTGAAAAGTCCTCCTGGTTCAATTCCAAGTCATGTGGAATGTCAGTGATCTCATTGGCAATGTCATCCGGCAACTCATCAGCACTCAGCCCTGGCGTGGATGGGCTCCTGGGGAAGATGACATGGTTGGCTCCACCCTCTCCTTTTAGCTTCACACCAATGGCACCAAGACAAGTTCGTCAAACATGAAAACGGGAAATCCTAACTCAAAATGTCTCTTTTCTTACTTTAAGAGAAGGAAACTTGAAAGAAAACCGACAGGCCCCGCCATATGCAATCACATACTTCTATAGCCTTTACCCATGTATTAAGACAATCATTTCAAGATGGTATTTTTACTTCAAATTAGCAGAATCAATACGGTTTGTGTATCAAGTATGTCTTAATACTTTTTAGAGAATTTCAAACATGGTCAACATAATAATTTTTAAAAATGAAACAAACAGATAAAACGAAAATGTTTCACTAAAACAGAAGTCTCATTCATCTGGTCAAAATGCTTATGCCTGCCAAAAATAATAATGCATCAGATTTCTGACAGAACATTTCTGTTGAAATATATATGGAATTTCTGTTAAAAAAGGAAAATCTGAGGGCAGACAATTCATTTCTCAATTTCAACATCTGCTCTCTCTGTTTTAATCAAAAACTTTACTTTAGATCTAACCCAGTCAGGTATTTTGTAAAAATTGCGCTGAAAACTAAAAAGCATAGGCTGATATACCGAATGGCTTCTGTAGCCTAGTTCCAACACCAGAAAAGGCAATGAAACTTGATGTTCTGAGGGCAATCAGAACACGTTTAGGAAACACAAACTCTGGCGCCGTCACTGACCGGATCTGAGAGGCCCCCACTGGCAGTGAGACGCTGGTGGGCATGCTGAGGTTCCCTTGGGGGACCGCAGGGGGAATGGGTTTTTGGGGTCGACGAGGTCCACGCCTTCTCTTCTTCTTGTGTTTTTTGGTAAGTGCAGGAGGCTTGGTTTTTTTCCTGGGTTTCCTCTGCTGCTGGTGCTGAACTTTACGGGAGCTATCGCCTCTTAAGAAATTATCCTTTGGAATGAATAAATGGATATTCTTAAACTGAGATTACTTGGGAAAAAAACTAACAAAATATTTGTATCTCTTAATATTCTATATAATGCCTAAAATATACTGTATACCTAAAACTATGTATAACAATAAGTAAATGAATAAAAAAAACTCATTTTTATTTCATTCAAATCAATTCAACATATAAATATAGTTCATCCTACAATTAAAGACATTGAGATAGGTGCTATAGTATAAAAAAATGAAGAAAATTTAATTTGCTCTCTCAAAGAACTTATTCTCCCATGAGAAAAATATGAATCCAATATACATAAATCCAGTACTGAGAAAATTGGTCAATAGTGATATAAATACCTTCTATGGCTACACAAAAGGATAATCAATTATTTTTAGTTTTGTGGGTACAGAAAAAGTAAGATTTTAAATCGTTGGGGGCAAGGGGAAGACTACTCCAGGCTAAAGAAAGTGGCCCAAAACAAACCAGACAAAAAGAACAGCAAACAACTGGGTTTGACTGGTGGTAGGAACATAATGGGGGATAAAACATAAATGTATGCTTTAAAGAAGCTTGGGACCAGATCATGTATGGCTTTGAATACCCTGTTAAGGATTTTAAACTTATTTTAGAGGCAATGAGGAAAGATTTTTGATGAGAGGAGCAGCATGACTTGACAAATGTTTTAAAAGGTTAACTAACCTGGTAGCAATGCAACGGGATAGCTAGAAATGAATGGCGGCAACAATTCCAATCAGAGGGCTCTTTCAACAGTGGATACAAAACAAATGGTGAAGAACAGAATGAGTGGGAGTGGGAAAGCCAGGGCCTGTCCAGGTAGAATTCTCGCGATCTGACAGCTCCTTGGATGTGGTAGAGTCAAAGGGAATATGAAACTCTAAAATGTCTCTAGGGTTTCTAGTTTGGGTGATTGTAAGGCAATGACACCATTACTTGGGATGGAGAACACAGCAGAATAAACAGATTCAGAAGAAAAGTTAAGGAATTCAGTTTGGCTCACATACAGTTTGAGGTATGCAGATGTCCAAGAGGTAGGAGAAGACCATCTGGTGCACGGGAATAAAGAAAGGGATGGAAGTGTAGACTTGGAAATCATGACATAGTAAAAGTCCTTCATGTAACTGACACGGTCCAGGAAGAAAAGGTAAAGGGAGAAGACACAGGGACACAGCTGCGATGAAGTGAGTAGGCAAAGGAAGAAGAAACTGACAATACAACTAGCTTTTTTCAGCTAGCGCCCTTAAATCCGAATGTGGCATCTCATCAGTTCCAGCATGCACATTTTAATATCTCTGCAATTGGGGAGCATTTTACAATAACGGCATCATACAATGTCGGCCAGGTAACAGTTGTTGGCATTGAGCCTACACATGTGCACAGTTGGTCACAGCTTTATACTGACATCGTTTGAATTAAGGTATGTACATCGTTGGCTTTACATGTAGATGAAAAACTGTTGCGTATGCAGAAAGGCACAAAGAACATCAGGGTATAAAATTAGTAGTAGTAAAGCAAACATTCATTATTAAAGAACTGACCTTAGCTTTTTTCTTTTCTTTTTTAAGCAAAAATCAAATGAGAAAAAAGGAGATGAAGCTGTGTTATATTATAGTTGATGTAAGTAGAAAAGACTGCTTTTTCACAGGTCAACTAATTCAGCCACAGCCAGGAGCAACACAGAAGATAAACTCTACGTCTACGTCTAAGGAAGCGATTTCAGCAAGTATAAAACAAAAATGGCTCATGATAAGAAATGCACTGTGCAGCACTGTTTTCTTTCTTGGTATATAAAACAATAGTGTTTTTTACAAGTGATGTCACTTTTGATTTGATGAATTCAGTAATAACTCATAACTAAATAAAGAGTATAGAAAATAGTATTTAAAGACTGATAACTATCACTAGCATCAAACAAATTCAGAACAAGAAAGAATAAAATTAAAGCATAAATTTAGAAAATGTAAAAGAAGTTTAATCCCAACCAAACACCTGAATCCAAACACAATTACAGGTTCAAGTTAAAATGCACGAATTTGTAAAACAACAACAAAAAAGGCTGCTTCTTTTGGCTCAGCACCTAAGGTCTATACTTACGTCCATTATTCAATTCAACAAATAGTGACTGAGCAAATAGCAGCATCCACCAGGGGGTAAGCATGCGCTCCAGGCTTTCTCTCTAGGACTGGTGTAGATCTTACGCAAGAGAAAGCTAGACAGCTCTAGCCCAAGATACACAAGTCCTACCTGTAAGACCGCCAGCATCACCTGGTTCTGGTTCTAGGCTTGCATCTTATTCTCCTAAGCTTATGCCTCTTAGCCCAGCAGCATTTTTGGTAATGTGCCAAGTACCCCACACAGAATTGCCCATGACAAGGCAGGACTCTTGGCAGTCCCTCATTCAGTTCTTCCAGAGAGCTAGAGCCCCTATAGCTTAGCGACTTTCCTAATGCTGACTGTTCATTTACCTACACTATTATTACAAACACTATTCATTCACTCACGACTTTCTCACAGTCTCATTCTACTTATGTGCTGGGGCAATCATGCATACACTAACTTACCATCTGTTGTATGGGCTCATACCTACTGAATACCATGTTCTGTCTGCCAGCCTGGACTTTCTGCAGCACGAGCCTCTAGTTCTGAATCTCAGACCCTGTCAGCTATATGCTAACTTTTAATTTATTCAACAATTATTTACTGAGCATCTTGGGATACAGCACTGAACAAAAACTGCTCCTGTCTTTGACAAGTTTACATTCTAGTAGAGGGATGCAGACAATAAACAAACAAATTAATAAATAATGTAATGGTAGGTATATAAAAATATAAGGAAGAAAAATAAGGTGGACTATAAGGATAAAAAAATAACAGGATAGGGGGCTGGCCGAGTGGCTTAGTTGGTTAAGAGCATGAGCTGAGCAACAGGGTCGCCGGTTTGATTCCCACATGGGCCAGTGAGCTGCGCCCAAGCTGAGCCTGCAGCTGAGCTGCCAACAGGTGGCAGGATGGCTCAGCTGGTGAGAGCACATGCTCCTAACAACAAGGTTTCCAGTTCAACTTCCGCATGGGATGGTGGGCTATGCCCACCTGCAACTAAGATTGAACACGACACCTTGAGCTGAACTGCCGACGGGTGGCTGGATGGCGACTGGACTTGGAGCTGAGCTAGCTGCACCCTCCACAACTAAGATTGGAGGACAACAACTTGGCTGTTCCCCTTCCCCAATTCCCTAATAAAACAAAATCTAAAAAAATAAATAAAAATAAAATAACAGGATAAAGGGGAGGTAGAAGGCTTCTTTGATGAAGTAACATTTGATCATAAACTTGAATAAATGAAGTGATGCATGTAGAAATCTGGGAGAACATTCAATGAAAGGAGAAAAACAAGTACAAAGCCTTTGAGGTGGGAACATACTTAAGAGTGCTCAAGAAACAACAAGGCCAATGTTGCTGGAACTCCGGAAATGAGGAGAGGGTGTAAGATGAAACTATGGAGCTTGCAAGGGCCAGGTCAGCAAGTGACTCAGAGCCACGGTAAGAATTTGGAATTCAATGCTCAATGTAATGGAAAGACACTGGAAGGTTTTGATGAGGGGACTAAAACGATCAGATGTGTATTCTAAAAGGTCTGCTCTAAAGGCTACATGCTGTAAGATTCCATTGATAAGACATTCTGGAAAATGTAAAATTATAGGAACAGAAACAGTTCAGCAGAGACAGAGGAAAGGGTTGACTACAAAGGGGCAGAACAAGAGAATTTTGGTGGGTGATGGAACTGTTCTGTATCCAAATTATGGTGGTGATTATATGACTGTATGCATTGTCAAAACTCAGAACTATACACCAAAAAGAGTGAACTTTACTGTAAGCAAATTCAAAGAAAGTGAGACACACATAGAATCTACTGGCTACTATGTGAAAAATCCATCTGGGTGCGGGTGGTGGGGCATGGCAAGAGGGAGACCAATTAGGAGACCAGTACAATAATCCAGGCAAAGGCAATGGTAGCTAAGGCTAGGATAATAGTAGTAAAATGTGTTTGGGTTCAAGATATAGTCTGAAAGAAAAGCTAAGAGATTTGCAGTGTTTGTCACCCAGTGTAAGTCTCTCACAGTGGGGGACTGATGGGGTACAAATGTTTGCTATTACTTATGTAATTTTTAACTTAAAACAAAAATAGCTCAACTAGGGCCGGCATGGCTCAGTTGGCTAAGAGCTCACTCAAGACTGCGAGCTCTGAGCAACAGCAGTTCGATTCCCGGCCCGAGCTGAGCAGCCACTGAGCTGCCAACAGGTGGCAGGATGGCTCAGCCTAAAAAAAAAAAAAAAATCGCTCAAACTACTGTCTGATCCTGTAACTATGTTCAGAGAAAAAAACATTTTCAAAAATTTTTATTGTAAATACCTTTTAAAAGCCTGATTATTTTATTTATATGATATAAGATGTACATTATTTTATGACTAATTTTATTGCATTAATTCAACCTTATGTTTCCCTCACTGAATTTGCCTAAGCTGGAATATTTAATCAGCTGAAAAGAATAAACTGCTTTTAATTTCTTTAAGAGCATTCAAATAATAATTGTTACTCTAATCAAGAACTTATGAAATCAATAAAGCAGATCCTGAAGTAGAGCCTCCCTATTTGATAATATTTCCCTCGTCTGGTTAGAAGTATGCTAAACAGTGTAACTTTAAAATCAAAATATATAATCGAGATGATTTACTTCAGTGGTGTGAAAGCTGCAGTGCCTATATTACCAAGGGTCTGTGAAATCATCAAAGAGCCACAAAAGTGGTCCAAAAACATAGAAATCATTCCTTAATCATAATAGAGCCTGAATAAGCTGACAAAATGTTTTATATTTTAAATGTTATAAAATTAAAATGGTAAAATAATTATTCATTTGTATATGCAGTTTAGTATACAAATATTCAAAATATATGACCCATATAGGAAACTAAAAAACAAAAGAGGCTCTTGGTAGAGAAGAAGCCAGTTAACTATACAGATGGAAACTGAGGCCCAGAAATAATGAATTATTAGTCCTTGTTAACATTTAGTTGGTGGCAATGCCAGGATCACAACCGTAGACTATTAAGTCCTGACCCAGTGGCCATTCGGTTACCCCTGAAAACTATAAAATGCTGACAGTGGGCAAGAATTGTCTCACTCAACTTTTTAGTACATGTGCCTTGTACAATACCTTGCAAATAGCAGAAATCAGTAAGTATCTGATGGGTGAAAACAATACAAATGCATTTATTTTAAATGACTATATAATTCAGATAGTTCATTAATTCAGACTTGTTTCTCCTCCAAATTATTTTGAATTAATTAGGGCTTATGATAATAGCATTAACAAAAGCAATAATTAAGTTCAGTAGAATTACAGAAATTTTATCAAATATCCAAGACAGGGCCAGCTGGGTGGCGTGATGGTTAAAGAGCTGGCTTGGGACGCCAGGGGACCCT